GTAAATTTATTTCATACATTCTAGTTTTAATACTGATAATTTCCTCCTGATGATGGCCGAAAGTTTCAAAAGAAAATTAAGATTAATTTCATTTATCTTCGTTAAAATTGTTTAATTATATTTTTATTGAATTAACTATACATGTTTATTATTTGATAATCATTTTTAAATAAACTTACATAATTTTAAAATAAATATAAAAAAATATATATTTTTTCTATAACAAAAAGGGAAGACAAATGCAAATAGGATTGTAATCTACATACATTACATTACTATTTGCAAGCGTTTATAGGCGTCTCATTAACTTCGCTTAGAACTCCACACATTATGTAAGTGAAATTTTAATTTGTCCTAATGATATTGTGGCTTTCATTCTAAGCGAGAGCACATCGATGTGGCAGCCTAGGACACTTTTATGTTAAATCTAAGTAGAAGAATAAGTGAAAGCATTACCACTGACTGCCACGAAATATCACTTAGATAAGCGAGTACATAATGCATATTTTTACCGCTGGGTATTTGTAAGCGTTGATAGGCGTCTCATTGACTTCGCTTAGAACTCCACACATTATGTAAGTGAAATTTTAATTTGTCTTAATGATATTGTGGCTTACATTCTAAGCGAGAGCACATCGATGAGGCAGCCTAGGACACTTTTATGCTAAATCTAAGTGGAAGAATAAGTGAAAGCATCACCACTGACTGCCACGAAATATCACTAAGATAATCGAGTACATAATGTGTATTTTTACCGCTGGGGTATTATTCTCATCTCTCAGCAATTCATTCTTATATGCGTGCATACGTGTGTGTATGTATGTATGTTGTTTTCACAAAATGTATGTGCAAATAAACTGTGGAAAAGTAAATGTTACAGTTTGTGTTATTGTAGGGTAAGAATACGTGTTTTATTGTTGTAGAAATGAAACTATATCGATTCGCACCGAAATAAAAAATCTTTATTATATAAATTTTTAAAATTACATATTTAGAGATATAAAACTAGCAAATTATGAAAATAATCACTTAATTATTACATACATTAATTAAATACCATAATTAAATGTTAAAATTTAGTAGTAATTTTTAAAGCATTATTTTAAAACAAATTTTGCTGCAAATTATATTTACATTTGGTTACTATGCACTATGGTTTAGACTACCACTTTTTTTGGCCAAAACTATTTATTTTAACAAATTTTTCAATACAGTACTTCGAAGCTACAGAAACTGCATTTTGTTTCCATCAACACTAAACTGTTCTTTAATAATAAGCCACTAAAGTTGCTTTTTTTCATAAAAAAAATTAAAATATAATTCGAAATACAGATATTTTCAGATAATTTTTTCAACTTAAACGAAAAAACAAATTATGTATAAAATTGATCTGGAAATGAAAGATGAAATAAAATACTTTAGTAATTATCATAAAAAGCTGACCAAAAACAATGCGGTGGTACGTAAAACATGGATGTTTGGTATAACTTCTTAAATCTTTACGATCACCAACTTTATATAAGCTTTTAAAAAAAAGTCCGACCTCTTCCCAGTATGAAACTTTAAGAAGCTATTTGTCCGAAATAGTTATTCCAAGTGGTAATTTTGCGATTTTCGGGAAAACTAACTTTTTTTAAGGGGTATTTTCTTTAAATATTCCAAAATTTTGCAAATATGGTTAGATGTTGGATATTCAAAATTAAATTTTGGGTAGTAATTTATAACTATAATATTGCTTTATTTTATTAATAACTCAAATTTATGTTTTCGATGAATTTGAAGAGAGGTTTAAAATAATTATAATAAATAAATACTAAACAAAAAAATCGTGTTATTCATAATTGAACTGTCTTTAAAATTACATATGGTAAGTACATACATATATATATACATAATCGAATCGTCTAAAAAATAACATTCTAATTCGGTGCGAATAGATATAGTTTTATTTCTACAATAATAAAACACTTATTCTTACCCTACAATTACACAATCGGTAACATTTGCTTTTCCACAGGTTATTTGCACATAAATTGTATAGAAACAAAACTTCTTTTAGTTTTTGATATTATTTAACCTGTGTTTTCTCGAAAAAATAACAACAATGTACACGTACATTCCTATAGGAATCAGTGTTGCCACTTTGGTTATTATTAACCAAAATTGGTTATTTTTGTTTTGCATGTGTACATGTGAATTACTTTCTCGTTTTGGTTATTTTTTGCAAACAATTGAACTAAATGCTGTTTGCATTTATTCTTAAAATAAAATTAAAAAAAAAAAAAAAATCTTTTATCTATAGTTTTAAACCAACTATGTAAATCAGAGATGCTCAAACACATACTACCATAGACTACCATAGTTTTATTTGTGTTGGTAAAGCAGCAGAGAACAGAATTCAATTTAAAATAAAGGTATACTAATAAAATGACTACAAACTATAAGTATATGCTAACTGTCAAATATTTATTATGGATTTTGACAGCCAGCGTATATCAAAGTCTATATATAACAAGTTAGAGTGCTATATTCGGCTATGCCGAATCTTAAATACCCTCCACTAGCAAGCTACTTTTTATTGAAACCCATCTAACTATCTATTTTTTAGATAACTCGCCAAAATTTTTGTCGAACTAATTTTGATTAGGTCCAGAAAAATTTAGAATTATTTATCTATACACAGAACATACTTATGTCGAATTTTATCCGGATATAATAATTTAATAACGAATTAAGTGGTATTAAGTGATTTTCAACAATTAACCTTATATGGATCGGTTCGGAAAAAATTCCGTACAATGATTTATATACATATATACAAAATACACATTTACGTCAAATTTTATACCTAAATGTGTATGAAATGTGCGTTTAAGTAATTTTCAGAAATGGCCCTTATATGGGAGTTGTGACCAAATACGGACCGATTCAGAAAAAATTGTATACCTATGTATAAAATGTGCGTTCAAGTAATTTTCAGAAATGGTCCTTATAAGGGAGTTGTGACCAATTATGTACCGATCAGGAAACAATTTCGTATAATGCAGAAAAAGATCAAGTATAATTTTACTCCAATAGGTGCGTTTAGGTAATTTTAGGAAGTGGACTTTATATAGGAGCTATGAGCAATTAAGGGCCTATCCCGAAAAAATTTCGTAGAGTGATTTATGTAAAGACAAAACATATAAGTGTCGAATTTTCTCAAGATAACTTTATTTGACAATGAAATATGTGCGTTTAAGTTATTCTCAGAAGTGGACCTTATATGGGAGCTATGATTAATAATGGACCGATCCGAGAAAAAAGTGGTAAAATGATTTGTATGTACACAAAACTTATTCAAGTCGAATTTTATTCCTATAGCTTAAGAATTCAATGAAATATATGCGTGTGATTTTTGGAAGTGGACCTTATATGGGAACTATGACCAATTATGGGCCTATTCGGGAAAAATTTTGCAGAGTGATTTATATTTGGGCAAAACATGTTTGTGTCGAATTTTATCAAGATTGCTTTATTTGATAATGAAATATGTGCTTTTAAGAGATTTTCGTAAGTGAGCCTCATATGGGAGTTATGACCAATAATGGACCGATCCGTAAAAATTTATTTTGTAAAATGATTTGTACGTACACAAAATATATTCAAGTCGAATTTTCTCCCGATAGCTTTAGAATTCAATGAAATATATGCGTTTAAGTGATTTTCGGAAGTCGAGCTATGACCAATTATGGGCCTATCCAGAAAAAATTTCGTAATTTTTACTTATAACTTCTTGCGTTGTGAACCGATTTTGCTGATTTTCAATATCAAACTGCTTAGGATAATAATAAATATTTTGGGTGAATTTGGTTGATTTCTTACACAGACAGACAGACGGACATAGCTAAATCGACACAGAATTTCATAAGGACCCAGAATATATATACTTTGTTGGGTCTTAGATGTATATTTCTTGGTGTTACACACGGAACGACAAACTTATATATACCCTCTATCACCACTGATGGTGGTGGAGGGTATAAAAAACTGTTCTCTAATGTTCTCCTACATTAATTCGGCTTTCTCAAAATTTTGTTGCTGTATTTCTGTGTGTATTTTAAAAACGTCGCGCACAGACCTTGCTTCGACAAGTGCTGATCAGCAACTGATTTGATTTTATTTTTCCGTTAATATTTCTATTGGAAATTTTTATGTAAAGAACTCGCGGTACTTATATGAAAATACGAAGTAGACTGTATATCGCATTTCGATTTTTATGGAATTTGGTGGGAATAGTCTACGTACTTAGTAGATTATGTCCTCCAAATTAGATTAAAAATTTAAAGTATAATTGCGACTTCTATACTAGAGCTGTCCATGTAAAAAAAACATCGATGTTTTTTGCCATTCGATTCATCATTAATTCACATCGATGTTATTCGATGCATCAATTAAAAAAACATCGATGTTTGCGATGCATCGTATTTATTCTAACTGGAACTAAACAAAATTAATTTAATAAAAGTCAAATTATTTTAACATATTGAATATAAGTTGTTTATTTTATGAGGCATTTTTTCATTAAATTCAATGTTATTACATTATTAAGGTCCTAATTGCGTAAAACATGACACCAAGTTATATTTATGTATATGGATAGAAAAAACAAAATTTTAAATATATGTATATGCAAATTCTGAACTGAACAACCGCACCAAAATTCGGACATTGCCTTTCATAATTTGAAATTTTTGTATGAAAAACAAACAAAAAATTTATAATGTTTGAAATTTTGTTTTTTCTATCCATATAAATATCACTTTGGTGACGTGATTTACAAAATTAGGGCTTATTATTGTTATATTATTACATGTAAAAAAATATAAATTCTGATTGAACTAAAAAGTTTATAAATGAATTTGTAGACGAATGTCAAATAAAAATAATATTAATTAAAAGTAGAATTTAAAATTTTTCAAAGATTAGGAAATTTGTTTTACTAAATGTCCCAATACTTTTTATTTAAGCTTTGCAAAAACAATATTTTGTTCAGATGGCACGGAACTGACAACCATTGTTAAATATTTGTATGCTATATTGTACAAACTGGGGAATTGAATTTTGTAGTCGGCCCACACTTCTAGAGGATTTTCATCAAACCGACTTACCGGACTTCGCAAATAAACTGAGAGTTCATCAGAAAAGTTCCCTTCAGTCCTATTTGTTTTCCAATTTCTATGAACTAATTTGTGGTGATCGCTCCAGAGACTAAATTCGTCTATCGGATTGTCTGAAATATCGGAGTCGCCATCCCCAGACTTTTCGTCTGCCATATCTCTTATCATTTCTTGGATTTTCCCAACGGCTTTCGAACATGCAAGTGGATCTTCAAAATGTATTTTTTTAAACCGTGGATCCAATAATGTGGCAATAGCCAGAAGTGATACATGTTCGATAGCACCCATTCGCTTGTTGATTTCAATAAGAGCCATTTTATGTACTTCATTTAACAAGGGTTCTTCAATTTCAAGAGCTTTTAGTTTCGATACCATACAGTGAACTAGCGGAATAACTTTGCTGCTATTGCAATATGTATCACCGGATATTTCTTTTGTAGCTGCCTCAAAAGGCCGTAATATGTTAAGTAGTTTTGAGGATGTGGATAATTCCATACCTGTCAACATTGGTGGGGCAGTTTTGTGTCGAAGTAATATATCACTTACGGCATTTCGAAATTCTAGAAACCTTTCGATCATATAGAACGTGCTATTCCAACGAGTAGGTACATCTTGGATAAGTTTTGCATCAGCTTTTGTCGTTTTTCTTAATTCGTCACTTGCTACGCAACTTTGTTTAAAGAAAGTGACAATATTTTTTATTTTAGTTACTAATGCCTGCAACTCTGAGATATTTAGTACTTTTTGCGCAACTAAATTTAGTGTGTGCGCAAAGCACGGTATGTGCTTCTTTTTTCCAAAGGCCAATTCTACAGCTTTTGTCATATTGGCTGCATTGTCTGTTACTACTGCGGTAACTTTATCTTTTGGAAAGCCCCATTCATTGCATACCTTGGTAATAACAGTTGATAAATATTCAGAAGTGTGTCTTTCATCGAGGTGGTATACCCCCAACGTTATCGACTGAAATTCAGTTGAAATACCAAAATGGGCTGTGACACCCAAAAAACTTCGCATTTGAAAATCAGACCAAATGTCAGTTGTCAAAGTAATATTGCCCACTGTTATTAATTTAGTTTTTAATACTTCTGATAAAACTTCAAATTTGTTATCGACCCAACGTGTCACAGTACCTCTACATGGAACTTTAAAATGCGGCGATAGCACTTTTATTAGATGTTTAAAACCTTCATTCTCTACCAGTGAGAACGCGTGATAATCTTTACAAATCATATATACAATAGCGTTGTTAATTGTTCTTGCCTTGTCACCATCGGAATAAGAAGCAATATCTTCAAAACTTTTTTGTATAGACCTCTGACGCTTTAAAGGTACTAATTCAGTAGTTGTGTCATCATTTACCTCAATACATGATACAGGTTGTACATTATGTGAACTACTTGTAGACGGCACACATGAATCGGAAACAACTGGTGTATTTTCGCCTAACACTCTCACAAAATTTGTATTTATTAATTTTTGCGTTCCAGAATTTTTTATTTCAGCCATTCCCAAAAATGTAGCCTTGTGAATGTGTTTAATATGGCCCATCAAGTTAGAAGTATTACCAGCGGTTCTTATATTTTTTTCACACAGCTTACACTTTGCAGATTTATTGCCATTTTTTTCAAAGTATTTCCAAACCAAGCTCGACGTTGACAACCTGTAACAGTAAAATTAAGACAAATATAATATTGCTGTTAACATCAAACACACAAAAATTACTTACATTGCTGATTTATACCATAGAAACGAAAATTTTGTTCTCTATACAAATATACTTTAGATTTTTTTTTGCATACGCTGTGGCTTCGATGATGGTTTATGAATATAACGTATATTTTTTCTGTGTTGTTACTTCAAGCGATTTTAAAACAAATTAAGTCATTCTTAAAGGGTTTTTGTTTAAAAACATTGTCAATACTTTAAATGAGTTGCAATCATCTACTTAAACAAAAGCTGCCGGATGCGTAAATTTAAAATTCTGCTTTTCGATACATCGAATAAAAAACATCGATGTATCGATTAACATCGTAGGATACGATACATCGACATTTAAATGATGTATCGAAACCAAAACATCGATATTTACGATGCATCGATTAACATCGCACAGCTCTATTCTATACCTATTTGAAATTTTGCATAAACAGATACTGTGCTAATTTGTCGAAATTCTAAGATAAATGATTTAATAAGAATTAATAAAGTATTTTCTGCTAATTGATGCAAGAATAGTATCACAATATCTTTAAAGTATTAATCAACTGATATTTTTAAGTAACACAGCTAAGGAAAATGAAATTGTATTATATACAAAACTTGTAATAACATCTAAACTCGTACGACGAACAATAATCGCGATATATATGCAAAGATTTGATACTCATGACCTTTGACTTCTACTATCTCACCATGACTTTTAGTTCTTTATTTACATTTTCTAGATGATGTTGTATACTAGTTTTTATTTTACCGTCTTAAATTCTAAATTTTGGTCAATTTGCTGGATAATTTGGATAAATTACGTTTACAAATATTGCTGAAGTTATGAATGTAATGCTAACATCCGCTACATGGTATTATAATTTGGTCAAATATACCCCTTAAACCCAAATTTCAAACGCAATCTTAAAATCTGTACATAAAATGTAAAGGAACTAAAATATCTCTGGCAGATTTTATGAGAATTGGTCCATAATTGACCATACGTCTCATATTACCTAGCCCCCTCATCAATAAGAAGCACAAAATTTTCTCAATTTTAAATACACTGTGTGCAACATCTTTATATATTTATAGTCTTTGCTATCAGCTTATACTCTTAAAATGTAAAATCTCTTTGATTTAGTGGTGGTTGTTTTCTTCGTTTTACGGTTACTATTTTGATCAACGACGGTCAAACAGCATCAAGAGGGGAATGAAATACAAACTCTCAGAAATGAACAACAACAACACTTAGTTGAATGTCACCCAGCGGTAAAAATACACATTATGTACTCGCTTATCTAAGTGATATTTCGTGGCAGTCAGTGGTGATGCTTTCACTTATTCTTCCACTTAGATTTAATTAGTCTCGCTTAGAATGTAAGCCACAATATCATGAGGACAAATTAAAATTTCACTTACATAATGTGTGGAGTTCTAAGCGAAGTTAATGAGACGCCTATAAACGCTTGCAAATAGTAATGTAATGTATGTAGATTACAATCCTATTTGCATTTGTCTTCCCTTTTTGTTATAGAAAAAATATATATTTTTTTATATTTATTTTAAAATTATGCAAGTTTATTTAAAAATGATTATCAAATAATAAACATGTATTATAGTTAATTCAATAAAAATATAATTAAACAATTTTAACGAAGATAAATAAAATTAATCTCAATTTTCTTTTGAAACTTTCGGCCATCTTCTTTTACAGATCCTGTAAACAATCAGGGGGAAATTATCAGTATTAAAACTAGAATGTATGAAATAAATTTACACCAATTTTTAAATCCATTTCTGCCGTTTAGATCACCACAATTATTTTAAATTTTTACAATAAAATAACTTTTTTAACAAAACACAACTTCACTTACAAAAGATCAACTTTAAACTGATACAAAAAGATTCTTCTTTTCATGTAGTATACAAAAGAAAAATAAAACGGTACTTTAGTTCCGTTTTTTTAAGGAATAAAAACAAAAAACAAAATGAAAAAGGCAGCTAACTATCTGCTTAAATCGTAATCTATGTTATAATTAAAGTGCGTGATATGTTGGATTACGCATACATTGCACTCTAAGTACTTAGATTGCTCGCTTAGAACGTCATACTGATGTCATCGAATATTATTTAAGTACTTTGTTTTATTTACCGCTGTGTAGCTTACACCAACATAATATTATTAATTTTGTTCTTATTTAAAGCATTCTCTCCGTGTCCCTTGCTGATTGAGACACACATAAGACTTTTGATTTTGCGCTTTTTTTGTATTTCTTATTAAAGATGTGTCTTTTCACAAATTAAAGTCATTGCAAACATAAATCTTGTACAGTGAGCATCGTTAAAATATAAGCAAGGATTTTTTATTGAAAAATTTAAAATTTATATAATTAAAAAGTTTTCTAAAAGGTAAGGAAAGAACAAACATAATTATTTTAATTCGGCGTAGTTAACTATAAATCTTCTATTAGGAACACTGCATTTTATTTGTGGAGACTCTACTCCACGAGGAAGATTTTCAGAAAAGAAATATCCACCCATATTGGACCACACCTTTCTGGGAAGATAGTTACAGCCACTCTCTGTCCCATCTTTTAATTAACCACGGGTACAGGAAAACTTGAAAGGACTCCGTTTCATAATTACCAATAAAATTATTCCATGTGTTGGCTCAATGGAATTTATATAATCAGAAAATCATCATTTTCTTTAAGGTGACCATAGCCCTGTAAAGTTAGAGGAAAAAAATGAAAGTCAAGGTAATGTCACATTCCACATGGTTACTCGGCAGTCAAGAAGTGTGTCACGTTATTTTCATAAAAACATCCCACGTAGCCTTATTTAACCTGAAATTTCCAAAAACGAACGTGTCACCCATTTTTTTTAACACACGTGGTACAATTCCGCGTGGCCTAGTTGAACCTGGATTTACATCACAAACGCGTCACGTTAATTTTTTACCCACGTGGTAAAGTCCACGTGGCTTAATCTAATCCGCATTTTCGTCCCATTACAAACCGGTCAGTAACAAAGATTTAACCGAACTTATATAAGGAATTATCTAAATTATAAAATCATAATTTAAAACAATTACAACTAAATAGTTTTAATTTCCATAATAATTGAAATAGTTAGAGGAAAAAATATGAAATAATCACCAAAATCCAATAATTTTTAAGTTATGATTAATTTCTCAAAAATCTAAATTAACTTTTAATTTCTAAGTAAATCTTCGTTTCTAAATTATTCCTTCATTTTTTTATATATATTTTTTGTAATTCTAAATTAATTTTCGTTTCTAAATTATTGTTTTTTTTATTTTTTAAATTAACTTTCAATTCATTTAATTTTTATTTCTTAAATAAATTTTAATTTTTTTTGTTGTTCCTTAAACATATTTTTCTTTTGTTAATGTTTTGTTTTCTTCTGAGATTTTCGAAATTTTTAATTAAACTATAATTAAAATACTTTAAGTTGTTAAAGTATGTTAATCTAAGTAAGATTCTAGATCTAAATTATTTAGATATCTTAAGCTTTCACTATTACATATAAATAATACTAAGTTTTCACAAAAAGAATAATCCGATTAAATAAAACAAAAAACAAATTTTGTTTGTAAAAGAAATAAAATGTTTTAGCCTTGTGAACAATTTATTTTATTATTATTCGAAATGCTACTTTAGTCTCAAATTAAAAGATTACAACTTCCTTAAACAAGGAGGCAAATCAATGAAACAAACGAAAACTTATTAAAATCTGAATTTATTTAAGAAAATGGAAATTAATCATTAATATAAAAAAACAGATCCAAAAATACTAATTATAAAATGAAAATCGAAATCTAAAGTGAAAAAATTGAGAATTAAAATATCAGAAAACTAGAAATACAAAGGAATATATACATACATAAAAAAATCTAATTTAAGGGAAAAGTATCATGAAGATGCATCTAAAGTTGGAATACAATCAATATGAATTTAAATTAAAATTAGTTACACATAAAATTGTGAAATAATCATAATTCGATTTTTTTTTGAAAATTAAAGAAAAGTGAAATATAAAGTAAAGGCAAGCTTAAATACATAATGCAATTTTTAAATAAATTAAAATGAATACAATTAACTCAAATTTCATTAGCAGCTAAACTTGAAAGATATTTGCTAAAATTTTGTGATAAGAAAGTAAATAGATAATTGTAAATTTAATTAATATAATGTTTTAATGTTTTTTTTTTTTTTTTCAAAATATCAGTCTTGAAAGCCAATGCATTAACATTCAGAATATATAAAATGTACCTATATTATTTTTCACAACTGTACTTAACATCTTATATTAACATTTATACATACATAACATCTTCAGGCCCATCAATTGATGCTGTAGATAACATAATGCTGTTAACAACATAACATGGTAAACTACATAATATTGTAAACACACAACACAAGTACACACACAGATGTTTCTGTAAGTAATTTTTTTTCATTTCTTTTAATTTATAATTATTTCTTAAATTGTTTGCCAAGGGGTGGGAATTAATGTACCCAACGTGGCTCTCCATCATTCCATCGGTTATTATTGTAGCTTACAATATTTAGAGCGGGTTTTTGAGTTGGCAGTCAAATTCCAATTAATAATCAGATTAGTTGATCTAAACATAAATTTTATCTGATTTTAATCCCCTTTGATGTTGAGTACAAGATTAAACTCGCAGTGTTGCCATACAAAACAACAGAAAATGTC